GGGCAGCCGGCCTTACCTGTGCTCAAGTTGTCGTTGATCTTCAAGGGCACCCGCAGGATGTAGACCAAGAAGAGCACGATGAAGAACCACACGGTCCAGAGATAAGTCCACGACCACACTATGCAGGACTTGAGCTGCTCCAGAAAGCCCGTGCCCGCTTCAGCCATTTTTCGGCGCTGCTCTCTGCTGCCGCGGTGTCGGTGTCTGCCGGGATGATTCACCGGCCCCGAGGCGCCGCTCGCGCCGCCGCCGCTGCACGGGCGCCCCCGGAGCCCGCCCGCCGCCCGGCTCTCGGGCGCGGCGGGAAATCGCGCGCGGCCCGCGGGCGCGCTTGCCTGTCCTTCTCCAGCCTGATTGCTGACTCTCTGAAGGGCCCCCAAGTGGCTTTCGTGAAGGGATCACGTGGCCCCTGCCCCCTCACATTCTGATGCCGTTTATATTGATTATGGTAATATTTAGACAGACAGGCAAAGTGGCGCGCTGAGGGAAACTCGACATGGTAATGGTAACTCACGTATATTGAGAGTTTCCTGTATGCCAGGCACTGTTCCTAGGTCTAGATAATCTCATTTAATCCCTTCAACAATCCCCATTATATAGATAGGGAAACTAAGGCAGAAAGCGATTGAGTAGTTTACCTTAAATTCGAGTCAAAATTCGGTTGCAGTATGATGGGTACCAGGGTCCGAGGTCTTAAACCCAACACTTTACTATTTTCTCTCAGAATTCAGGCTCAGAGGGAGGAATAAACCCGGAGCAACTAGAAAAATATAGATGTGCTCCTGTCACTGGTTGGTAGACCTGAAGATAAATCACTCTGTTAAGCAAGATTTGAGTTGCACACTCTATTTACCTTTGTTTTATCTTCCTTAAAGCGGCACAGGGGTTTTCCAGAGAAATAGTGACAGGAAGAATGTTTATCCTCCAATTTTTTGGGCAATTACAGTTCAAACAACTTTCAGCCTGTTTTTAATATAAGCAGTTCTCTGGGATAATTTTGGCTTATTCTGAACTGACTTCTTGAAACGAGAAGTAAATTATAAATGTTTCTTGTCTGTGCTGAATAAAATGTTACCTTTACCAAATGCAATTCTAAAGTTTGTTTCTGTCCATAAATAATTTCACTTTCTATGTATTGGATGGTAATGAAGCAATTGCAGGTTATCCAATCTACAGCGATGATAATTTTTGGAATTCTGAGCAATCAGCAGAATATTTTATTATAGATTTTATTTTGCTTACTTGTAGTTTCCTCCATAATAAAACAAGCTCCTTTAACTTTTTACGTGTAAGACCTACTATGGCGTACAAACTAGAACTACTCTTGGGCCGGCCCGTGGCTTAGCCGTTAAGTGCATGCCCTCCGCTACCGGCAGCCTGGTTGAGAGGATCCCGGGCGCGTCAGCCGCTTGTCCAGCCATGCTGAGGCCAGGTCCCACATACAGCAACTAGAAGGATGTGCAACTATGACATACAACTATCTACTGGGACTTTGGGGGGGGAAAAAAAAAGGAGGAGGATTGGCAATAGATGTTAGCTCAGAGCGGGTCTTCCTCAGCAAAAAGAGGAGGATTAGCATGGATGTTAGCTCAGGGCTGATCTTCCTCACAAAAAATAAATAAATAAATAAAACTGTAAAAAAAAAAAAGAACTACTCTTACATTTTCACTAATTTCAGCCTCACTCTCAGCTACTGGTTTCTCCATACGTTTGATCTACAGCAGTCAGATACAGACAAGGAGAAGAAAAATTGACACACATGTACTTTTCATAGTTATTTGTGGCAGCACACCAAACAATTTTTGTATCTAACAATGATGTCTGGATTCTCAGTAGAATAAAACAACATGAGTACATGAACCATCTATTTTATGTGATGATGAAGTAACCCACTGGATTCTCTGCGATAGGATTGCCTACGTAATTTAAATGAACATCCTGGGGCCTGGCTTTTTGCTATAGTGAACCTCAAAGAATGGACATAAATATGACTCAGTTGAGCCACAATTTTCTGATTGTCTACCAGGCGCTCTTAGAGGGTCAGCCCTGTCTTACTCATCTTTGCCTCTCCCTAGTGTGCAGTCAGGGATGGGGGTTGGGACTGGAGACATGTTTTTGTGCTTGGACACAGAAGAAAGAGAGCATGATCTTGGGGACTGCGCTCTTCAGTATGGCTGGAGAGCAGGCTCTATATGGACTGATGTCAAGAGAGATAAAGCTGCAGATGATCTGATATTGAAGGGCCTAGTAGAAACGCTAAGGTATTCACAGTTATTTGGCCTTGCACACACTAATCCAATGACCAATCCAGAGATTTATGTAAATGTAGATTAAAGAAATATTAACAAGGTAGAGTTGACAGGCCTTGGCAACTGACAGGCAAGGTAAAGATAAAGGGTAACAAGTGGCTCTTGACTGGAACCATTCATGAAATAGTGACAACCCAGATATGCCTAGCCACCTCTTGACCATCTCCCCATGGAATGGCCCACAGTCACCCCAAGCTCACCACATCCAAAACTGAACTCAATATTTCCTTACCCACAACTGCTCCTCCATCTAGAGTTCCATCAGGGAATGGGCACCACCCTTCCAGCTTCCTAATTCAGAAATCTGAGGATCATCCCATTCAGAGTCCTCCCTCTCACTCACCTCCTTTCATCTCCATATTCAACTGGGCATCAAGGCTTTAATGTCACTTGTCACATTATGTCACGTGTCACATGTCATCTGTATGTCTCAAATCTGTCACTTCTGTCTATTCCTCTGCAATACCTTTTAGTCTCTCACAGCTTGATCATCTCTCATGAAGAACCAGGCAGTGGGCTCCCTGCCTCCAGTTTCACCACAACCAACACTACCACCACCACCACCATCACCACCACTACCCCTACACCACCCCCTCAATCCACCTTCCACACTTCTCTACCAGAGTTACCTCTTAAAGCACAAATCTGATAACTCACTCACTGCTTAAAATCTTTTAAGGCCCCATCCACTCCATTCCTACCCCACCCCAATGCCTATCTATAATTTTATTTATTTATTTTTTCCCCCAAAGCCCCAGTAGATAGTTGTATGTCATAGCTGCACATCCTTCTAGTTGCTGAATGTGGGACGTGGCCTCAGCATGGCCGGACAAACAGTGCATGGGCGCGTGCCCAGGATCCGAACCTGGGCCGCCAGCGGCAGAGCACGTGCACTTAACCGCTAAGTCACGGGCTGGCCTGCCCAACGCCTATCTAAAGGATAGAATCTAGATAGTACACAAGGCTCTCTGCAGGGCACTCCTACCAACCTGTGCAGCCTCATATCCTACCCTAGGCACTCTCTGTACCACCAGCATTTTGCACACATGCCATTCTCTTTCACACCTTTGGACCTGCACTACAGCACCTGCCTGTAGTGTACTTCTCTGTGCTTTACTTCCCACCGAGCCTTCTCTCCCTGCCACAACTGCCTCATAACAGCTTATTTAGAGATGCACTTAAAATATCACTTCCTTTGTGACACCAGCTCCCTCCCGCCCGCCCCCAGAGTTCACTGTCTCTTCCCTGGGATGCAGCATCAGGAAGCTTATGGTGGGCTGCTAAGGCTTGGAGCCAGACAATGATGGGCTCTATTTCCTGATCCTGCCATCACTAACCCGGTGCTCTTTACAAATTACTGAGTTTCCCTGAGCCAATTTCTCCACCTGTACAATGAGTTACACTTGTTCCTATTACATAGATTTTTGGAAAGATTCAATGAGATGCGTACCAAAAATACTTAGCACAATGCCTAGTCCATATCTTTCCTCTCTGTTAGTAAATTGAGGCCTTTAATGTTAATTTGTTATTGTTGTTTACTTTAGTCCTCTTTACCTTCTAGTACAAATGGTGCTGTGTTTGGCACATGGTACATGCTCAATAAATACTCACTGAGTGTTGTATGCAGGAATGAAAAAATTATATCAAAAGAAATTCCAAACCTTACAAAGATTTGGACTTGGATTTATTTCAGGAGTGAGAGTGAAGATTTCCTCTTCCGCCACATAGTGAGCTTCCTTGAAAGTTTGTTTCAGGAGGTGTAACCCCCAGTGGATTATGTAATAGGAGTTAAATGACCATTAATTTATGGGAATTATGTCAAAAACGATATACTCCTAAATTCCTCTTAAACTGGTTTGTATGTTTGGTTAAAATGTATATCTTGGTCTGATAAAATATCTGAACTGAATAAGAAACCAGTATATTAGGGAAGAACTTTAAAAGTTCTTTAAAATTACTTCTCTATTGTTTTTTCTTTTGTTTTATAAGTGGTGTTGTCATAGTCTTTAGTTTTATACTTTGTTATAAGTTTAAGAATCTATTTTTGTAAATGCTTTTCAGAGTTCATCTTAGATTTAAATGCAAGAAGTAACTGTTCTGACTTTTTGGGTTTTGTTTAAAATAAAAAAAAATCTCACCCACGATCGCTGGTTAAACTTATGAATTAGTCAATGTCCTATTTTCATGAATAACATTCTAACTGGTTATTCTTATTTAGTGACTTAACCTAGAACTGAATAAGTGCGAATACAACCTAGTTTACTTTTGAGAACCAGTAGAGCAGACAAAGAGGTTTGGAAGGGAATTCGCCATTTCTAACGTCTTCAAGACAACATACTTTCTCATAGAGTATTGAAGAGATGAAATTTCAACTATCCATATAAGTTGAAAAGATGATTTACATAGCAAAAGGCTTGGGGAGAATGTCCCCAAGATATAATACTGCATGTAGAAAGAAGGATGCATTTCCATCATCGACGTACACATACATTGTAATCTTACAATGAAAGGTTCACAATGACTAGGGTTAGAAATTATATTATGAATTATATTCATATTTACTTTTGTTTCCCCATTCCTTAAAAAAGATATCTTAGTTTCTATATAATGCCTTTCACAGGCATGTTGACACTCAGTGACATTCCTTAGCATCCCCGATTTGTTTAAAAAATCAAAATTACTTTAGTAAGATAAGGTTTATTGATATACAGAATAATTCTGATAGAAATAATGCAAAATAAAACGAGCAGAGCCTTGTATAAAGAATCTGCAGGCAACCTAACCCTATCTTCACCCTAAAAGCCTGCTCCAGCCAGTGGGGGATGGTTCCTCATTTTCAAGAGAAAAAGTAAAATTCTTTTGAAAAGAAGTAGTGAGTCAACACAGCCTTCTCCTTTACACTGCTGAAATGTAATCAGGAGAGGACACCAGAAGAAGATAAATGAGATAAAAAAAAAATT